CTGTAGGGTTTAAGTGAAGGCAATAACTCAGAAGGAATCTTCAGGGCAAGGGTGAAGGAGAGATAACATTTAGGAACTCTGGGGTGGTTTGGGTGATGGCTGAGTGTAGGCCAGGTGTAGGTAGCACCTGATCATTATGCCTGACCTAACCACGAGCTTTGCATGAGCAAAAAGAAGGTGTTAGACTGTGTCCTACAGGGAGCTGTCCCCAGAGTGTTCCATGCATCAGAAGGGTAAAGAATGGGTGTTACCAGCATGCTGGGGCATTGCTCAAAGAGGGTAAAACTAAGGTTGCGCTATGGTGGTGTTGTGTCCCTTACCTTCCTATTTCTTGGTTCTCAGAGGTTTATGTTTAGCCTCTCTCCACATTCTGGAAGGGTACAAGGCACCACTGGCAACCTGAACTCAGCATTGACAAAGTTTTGGGCCATTTAACAGATGCATTAGCACTGTAGATACATCACACAACTTGTGTAAATGGTGACACATGTTACCCTAAACCCTGATTCAACAAGGTACTTAAACACGTAAGTATAACACTGACAGACCCCAGTCATCAGCGGGCAGGATCGAACCTGGGACCTCTGGAGCAAAATGTATGAGCTAAAAGTGACATGGTTCTTAGCTAAGGCAGTAGCAGACTCATTAATCTCTGAGTGGTCTCGGTGCCACTACAGGGGGCAGAATACCACACCCAGGAGGTGTGTGGGTTACATAAGCAGTCCCATTGCTATCACTCGTGAGGTTATTCACGTGAGGTTACTCATGTGCTTAAAGTTCTTTGTTAATCAGGCCTTAATGAAGAATGTGAACAAGACCCTTCAGTCTGCTGTGGTCTAATCAGGATTTTGTAAAGCTTGGATATTGCAGTAAAGGGGGCAAGAGAAGTGGATAGCCTGAGAAGATAAATGATGTTTCTATGGGCATTGTAACACCAAAGGCTGGAGTTTGCCCAACCAATATAGGATTAAGAGTGCTGTATTCCAGCATTTGCAGTCCTGATGAGATAAAACTGTTTGTTATGTATGGATAAGGCTGTCTCCATTTGTTTTGTTTTTTTTTCACCCAGGGCTTCACTGCAGGGGAAGAGTGAAGTTATTTTGCTGCATTTTCCTATTATGGTTTCCACTGAACAAACTGAACATTTCACAGTTAAACATTCATCATTAAACTGTACATTCCGGCCTTGTTGTCACTAGGAAAAAAGGTATATTTTTAACATGTGCCAAAATCCTAGTGTAGACAAGGCAAGGTGTCATTTTAACACGTTAGCACCCAGGGGTCGGCAACCTTTCAAAGAAGAAGAGCCATTTTTTTGTTTTTGTCTTTGATCAAAATATTTCGAGAGCCGCATCATACGCAAAGCTATTTGTAGAGTTAGAATTTATCAACTAATAATAATTGAACATATTAAAGTTATTACTACTCACCAATACTTTTAACGCAACTTCTGCCATTTGAATTTGAATATAAGCAGGAGGGGGCTCCAGGTTGGGACAGGGGATTGGGGTGCAGGAGGGGGTTATGACCTGGGGCAGGGGGTTGGGGTGTGAGAGGGGGTGTGAGGTGCAGGCTGTGGCTGGGAGGCGCTTACCACAGGCAGCTCCTGGCCAGCGGCGCAGCAGGACTCTGCCCCCATGCCGCTCCCGAAAGCGGCTCGCTGCTGGCACGTCTCTGCACGCCCCTGGTGGGGGGCGGGTCCACGTGCTGCCCCCGACCCCAGCACTGTCCTCACAGCTCCCATTGGCTGGTTCCTGGACAATGGGAGCTGTGTGGGCGGTTCTTGCGGGTGCAGACAGCGCACAGAGACCCGCTGCCCCCCTCCCCCCCAAGGGGCGCGCAGAGACGTGCCAGCAGGCAACCGCTTCCAGAAGTGGTGTGGGGTCAGAGCCCTGCTGCACCACCGGCCGGGAGCCGCACCTCACACCCCCTCAAAAAATGGCTGCCAGCAAGGGTGCTGCCAAAGAGCCGCAAGGGGGCAGCCAAAGAACCTCATGCATCTCCGGAGCCGCAGGTTGCCGACCCCTGTGTTAGCCAGACAAGGTAAACTCTATGGGAAGACTGAGGGTTCACTACAACTAGTTAAGACATTAAAACAACAACTTGCCTTGTCTACACTAGGAATTTAACAACATTAGCTAACATGTTAAAACACACCTTTCACCTTATGTAGAATGGCCTTTCATGCTTTCAACTATTTGTGTTTCTTTTGAGTGTAATCATAACTGAATTTCCTGGGTTTCTACTACTTGCCTTCATTATTGCAAAGCTTTTGCCCTTCAATTAGTTCTATGTGCTTTCAGCCTTAACTCCAGTTTAAGGCAGATTTTGTCTGGAAATGTTCTCACAAGAGGTGCTGTAACTGAGTGTACAGCCATTTCTTTTATATAACTGTTGTAAGACTTGTGTAGCGCTGGCAGGTTAATCCCTTGTTTGTCTTGTCGTAGCCGTTTAAACCGCATAAAGCTTCTATTCACACATGTATCCAGTATAGTGTTACTTATCCTGGGCAGGAGGTCATAGGCCATATCTGCAATCAGCGAAACCTCACACTTCAATTTTTCCAAATCTCAGAAGATTTAGACAACGAACAAAAAGATGCTGCTCAGTTTGCGGCTTGAAGCGATTCCGTACCCCAGCAAGCTCAGAGTCATTTTGATTTACAATCTCCTCTTTGTGCTGGTGGAAATAGCCTTCTACAACAGAAAAACAGGAGGTGAAAATGGATCAACTGCTCAGCATGGGAATACAAAGAGTGTTCTAGGAACAGCCTCCGCTTGAAGCTAATCCAAAATGCCAATAGCTGCAGCTTATGTGATTACATTGCGTTAAAAATTGTGCTCCCTTTTCTGTTATGAAAATGGAATTCTTACAGTGGTTCTCAAACTTTTTTACTGGTGACCCTGTTCACACAGCAAGCCTCTGAGTGTAACCCCCCCTAATAAATTTAAAACATTTTTTTTATATTTTTAACACCATTATAAATGCTGGAGGCAAAGCAGGGTTTGGGGTGGAGGCTGACAGCTTGCGACCCCCCCATGTAATAACCTCGCGACCCCCTGAGGGGTCCCAACCCCCAGTTTGAGAACCCCTGAATTATTAGCAAAAGCTAAGGTCTGACTTTTATTGTATTAAGTATTGTTACATAGGTCAAGAGGTACCCCAGGTGTTATGAACAGTCTTTCATTGGGTAGACTGCATGACAAACTGGTCTCTGAGGTCTTGGGAGTAAGTGACTGTGTATATTCATTGAAGTTGGTAATTCAGAGAGAAAATGAGTGAATATTAATTTAAATCACTAAGGCTGAAAAGTGTTTTGTGTTCTGGTCTGTAAATGTCCAGACTGAAATCGCACCTAGCATGCACTGTGGGAGTTGCAGTGCACGCTGGCTCTGTCATGAAGCACACATGCACCGCAGAGACATGCTGTATTTCCCAGGAATGTGGTGGGATAAGCTGCTGAAAGAGAAAGCTGATCATAAGTTGTGTTCACAGATAGATTAGGGCATCGAATTGGGTATATATTTGGTTCTGCAATGGGGGGAGCATATCTGCAAATATCTGCAAAATCACCTCATTTTCCTCCTCAAAACTTGCCCCTCCTGTGATGGTGCTTACAAAAACAGTTAGGCTGCTGGAGTGCTGAGACCATTGCCTGTCACGCTGACCGGCATTGTCTCATGGTTTTCTTGTGCTCCCTCTTCTGTCTGTCTCCATCTACCAGCTCTTATCTCAGACTTAGATTGTAAACTCTTTGGACGGGAGCTGTCTGTTTGTTAGGTGTTTGCACAGCTCCTAGCACAACAGGGTACTGGTCCAGAACCAGGAATCTTAGATGCTATAATAATAATTAATAAATCCATAATACAATGTAAGTTTTCATTCACCTCCCAGGGGGATCCTGCTCAGAACAGCAACTGGACCTTATGATGTGGACATTGGTTTCCAATTGTATATTCCATATCCACAGGATGGTGGAAGGAGCCAGTGCTGGCGAGAGCACCCTGCTGGCTGTATCTTTCCTGGGATTGACACCACTCACATGCCAGCAGCCCAGCGTGGCCAGGACTGCCCCAAGTCTGTGCCCCAGGCAGCTTGTAGTAAAGGATAAAGGATTACCCAACAGCATTGTCCTGCTAGCACTAGGAGCTATTGTTCTGCTGAGCTTCTTGGGCTTCACTCCCTTTGCGGATGGTGCCTCCTTGTGTTTCTCTGCTCTCGCTCTCCCTTCTCAGGGAGTCAGGGCAGAGGAGGGAGGAGCGGGGAGAGCTGAGGAGGAACCTTACCTGCCTGCTCTCTCTACAGCCGTGGCGGTGGTAACCCTTGGAGAATGGGAGACCCAGGGGGCAAGGCAGCAATTTATTATTATTAGTGGGAGACACCCAGTAAGAGGGAGACCCAAAACCATGGGGAGTGATGCCTCAGGGAGAGTGTCTCAATGGGGTAACCTCTCCGAGGGACCAAAAGAGGTGCCCTTACAGAACACCGTCAGGAGAACAGGCCCAATCCTCCTCTCCCCAAAGACTCCGGGGAGGGCTGCTGGCCATTCTCCGACACACCCCGGGGAGAGGGCCACAAGCACACAGCAAGAGGCAGGGGAACCAGGGCCATTTGGCTGTGTGGAGAGAGTCCAGTGACCTGTTTAGTGAAGCATCTGAACTTTAGGGTGTTCACCTAAAGCTTGGGCTCCTCCCCTCTTTGTGGGCAGGTGGGTCTGCTCATCTCTCGGCCTCAGTGGGGCAGTGACTTACCTGTTCCTCCTGCAAAGAGCTGCAAGGTTTCTCGCACCTTCCTCTGGAGCAGCTGGTGCTGGCCACTGCGGGAGACGGGCTATGCGACTGGATGAGCCATGTGGCAATCCCTGCATTGCCCTTTCCCCGGCTGTGGCCCATCCACCATCAATTTACTGCACTCTCCTGCTTATAATTCTTCTCCACATGCTTCACCTCTTCTCTTGCCTGCTGGGTTCACGCCCCTCCTGTGTGCTTCTCCCACTGTAGGTAGATGGCCTGAAGGCCAAGCTGGCAGCCCAGGAAGTAGAGCTGAAGCAGAAGAATGAAGATGCTGACAAGCTGATTCAGGTGGTTGGTGTGGAGACGGAGAAGGTGAGCACGGAGAAAGCCATAGCTGATGAGGAGGAGCAGAAGGTGGCGCTGATAACTCAGGAGGTCAAGCAGAAGCAAAAGGACTGCGAGGAAGACCTGGCTAAAGCTGAACCAGCCCTTGCCGCTGCCCAGGCGGCTCTTAACACACTCAATAAGGTATGGGACAGGCATCAGGGCACTCACAGTATCTCCTGCTGTCTGGGCAAGCACAGTTACAATTGGATTGTTGGAGACGTAGCCCCATAAGGGCCTTGCCTCTGAGGTCAGCCATCACAGCCCACCATGCAAGGGAATCACAGGCAGGCGTACACATGCTGAAGCCCAAGTTCCTTTGCTTCTGTGCTATGTGCTCCTTGTTCTGGGGCTGTTTGGTCCCTGGTGTAACTAAGAGCCATCTCCAGGCTGCTCTCAGTTACACCTGCTTATTGGCCATGGGAAGCAGAGTATAGCTGGAGTTCTTCTGTTCTGACCACACACCCCTCTGCGTTTGGCCCACTCCGTTTCGCTTTCCCTGCTCCACCAGGGCTGGGAGTGGAGCTGGCGCACGGCCACTCCACCAGGATCTGGTGGTACCAATTCAGATATTTCTTGGGCAGAGGGGAAATTCTAGTCTCCCCTCCCTGCTAGTGGTCCCCACTCATCCACCCCTCCTCCCATAGAGACCCGGGTCTCCGTTGGCAGGGCAGTCTCTCCTTTCTCTTACCCGTGCTGCCAGGAATCGAGTTCTCAGAGGACTCCTTGCGCTCTGCTGTACAGTAACAAACTCCCTGAGCACCAGGGCACAAAACCACTCACGGAAATTTGGCCTAGCTGCCCCATATCTATACAGAGGGGTCGCTGGGTTAGATTTCAGTGGCAGTGCAGTCATGCAGCTGGCCCGATGCACTGGACCACTCCCACAGCAGCCGTACTCCTTTAAAGTACTCGGGCCATGGTGCTAAAGCCCTGGGGAGCAGCAGGGGGACAGGGACATTCACACATACCCCAGCATCCCCAATTGGCACCAGTGCCAGGGACCCTTAGGAGGGAGGGGTATTCCTCGGGGCTAATATTTCTGTCCTCTCCATGGCCCATCAGCATAATGGAGCCGAATGCAACAAAGAACTGGCCCTGTGTTTGCAGATGTGGAGTGATGTGCATAATGGAGGGAGATGGGGTTAGGGCTGCATATGAATGGGCCAGGCACCAGTAGCGTTACCATATTTCCACAATCAAAAAAGAGGACACTTGGGGGGGAGGAAAGCCCCGCCCTAGCCCCACCCCCGCCCCATCCACTCCCTCCCACTTCCCACCCCCTGACTGCCCCCCTCAGAACCTCCCCCCTGCTTCTTGTCCCTTGACTGCCTCCTGCTGAGAACCCCCCACCCTAACTGCCCCCCCTAGGACCCTACCTGTCCCCTGACGGCCCCGACCCTTATCCACTCGCATGGGTGGCAGGGTTGTAAAAATTTTGGTGGTGCCCAGAACCCACCCCCTCACACCTGCCTAAGGCTCTGGGAGGGGGGTTGGGTGGGGGGGGGTCTGGGGTGCAGGTTCTGGGATAGAGTTTGGGTGCTGGGTGCAGGCTCCGGGCTGGGGCAGGGGGTGGGTGTGCAGGAGGGGGTGAGGGGTGCAGGGTCTGGGATGGAGTTTGGGGGTGGGAGGCGGTGCAAAGGGAGGGGGTG